AAGATCAATAAAAAAGTAGCCCTCTAATATGCAAATGATAAAAAGCTCAGAAATAAATCAGAGAAATATTATCCTTCACAATATCCAAAAATAACGTAAAATATCTTGTGGTAACACTAACCAAAGAAGTGAAAGACCTGTACGACAAGAATTTTAAGTCTTTGAAGAAAGAAACTGAAGATACCAGAAAATGGAAAGATTTCCTATGCTGTTAGATATGTAGGATTAACAAATTAAAAATGACAATCCTACCAAAAGCAACTTATAGATTCAATGCAATCCCCATCAAAATCCCAACACAATTCTTCACAGACCTTGAAAGAACAACAATCAACTTCATATGGAAAAGCAAAAAGCCCAGGATAGCCAAAACAATCCTGTATAATAAAGGAACTTCCAGAGGCATCACCACCCCTGACTCTATTATAGAGCTGCAGTAATGAAAATAGCCTGGTATTAGCAAAAACAAAACAAAACCCAGAGAGGTTGACCAATGGAATCGAATTGAAGGCCCAGATATTAATCCACACACCTGTCAGATATTTATCTTACACATGTCAGAATAGCTAGGTATTTCTTACTTGGTAATTGTTCTTATTGTATATAGTTTTACTATTTTAAAGTTAAAGCCATTCTTTTTTATTTAGACAAAAGGGGGAAATGTTGCTGATTTGTGTGTGTTGCTGTTGCTCTGAGTCAATGGAGTTAGACCTTGGTTCAAAGGGAGGAGTCCACACTAAGCTGGCTGGAATGGACCATAGAGTTTTCTGGCCAGCTGAGAGGAAGCTAGAAGGACACACAAAGGAGGAAGAAGGAGGGGCCAGTGGAGATGTGAGGGCCTTTTTGAGTGGGGAAGGTGGCGAAGAGAGCAGAAGATTCTTTCTCTGTTTTCCAATAATTTCTCAAGTTTATTTGCATAATATTTAACATCCTAGTTTTATTTTTTCATAAAGCAATAAAAGATGTCACAACAACAGTTTATGCTGGAGAGAATGTGGAGCAAGGGGAACACTCCCCCAATGCTGGTGAGAGTGCAAACTTGCACAGCCACTTTGGAAATCAATATGGTGGTTTCTCAGAAAATTTGGAATTCATCTACCTCAAAATCCAACTATACCACTCCAAAGGACACTCCATCATATCAGAAGAACACTTGCTTCACTATGTTCACAGCAGCTTTACTTGCAATAACCAGAACCTGGAAACAACCTAGATATTCCTCAATCAAGGAATGGATAAAGAAAATCTGGAACGTTTACACAATGCAGTATTACTCAGTGTGATATCAGGAATTTTACAGGCAAATGGATGGAACTAAGAAAGATAATCCTGAGTGAGGTAACCCAGAGCCAGAAAGATAAACATGTAACTAGATACTAGATGTAAAGCAAAAGATAACCATGTTACAACCCACACACCCAGAGAAGCTACATAACAAGGAAGGCTCAGCAGGGGGGATGCATAAATCTCACTGTGAAAGAGAAACAGAATGGACATTGACAGTGGAGGAGGTGAGGGGCCTGTAAGGAGGTAATGGGGATGGAAACAAAGATCAAGTGTGGGGAAGATGGAGAGATCGAGTATCGAGTACTGGTAAAAACTGGAATCTGGGGGCATCTGTGGGACGAGCTAGAAACCTAGAGCAATGGAAATCCCAGGAATCTATGAGGGTGACACTAGCTAAGACTCCTAGCAATGGGGGATATGGAGCCTGAACTGGCCATCTCCTCTAACCAGCCAAGACTTCTAATGGAGGGATTGGGACACAAACCCAGTTACAAACCCTTTCGTCCTACAATTTGTCCTGTCTACAAGATGTGCTGGAGTAAAGATAGCACAGAAATTGTTGAAGTGACCAACTACTGACTGGCACAGCTGGAGATCCATACCCTGAGAAGGAGCCCATCCCCAAGGACCAGGACCCAGAGGTAGTATACCCAGAGACCTAGGATAGAACCAAACATGAATGCTAAAACTTTCAAATGATTCCTAATGCTATTCTGCTATACTCATAGACTGGTACCTAGCCCAACTGTCATCAGTGAGGCTTCAGCCAGCAACTGATGGGAGCAGATGCAGAGACCCACAGCCAAACAATAGGCAGACCTGGGAATCCTGTGGAGGATATGGAGGAAGGATTGTAGGATCCAGTGGTTTCAAGGGCATCACAACAAAACCCAGAGAATCAACTAACCTGGGCTTATAGAGGCTAAACCGAAAACCAGGAAGCCTGTAAGGGATTGACCTGGGCTCTCTGTACATATGTTACACTTATGTAACTTGTTGTTCATGTGGGACTCCTAACAGTGAAAGCAACGAGCTGTCTGTGACTGTGCTGTCTGCTTTGGGGACCCATTCCTCCTACTGGATTGTCTCATCCAGCCTTAAGAAGAGGTGCCTAGTCTCACCGCAACGTGATATACCATGGCGAGCTGATATCCATGGGAGGTCCGCCTGTACCTAAAGAGAAACAGTGGAGAAGGAGTGGATAGTGTGGGAGTGGGCATAGTGGGGAGAGGGGTGGGGGTGGGGTAAACTAAGAAGGGGGAGGGAGGGGAAGTTGGGTTGGGATCTAAAAAAATGAACAAACAAAAAAGACTACATAAGGAGAACTTGTCTCAAAAAGTAACAACAAAAAGAAAAGAAAGAGAAGAGAAAAGTTAAGGTTTCATGGCTCGGGAGATAGTTGATAGATAAAGTGCTTTGCCCAAGGATCCCAAGGACTCAAGTAAAAGCAAAACAGTCCCAGTGGCTGCCTCTATTGTCAGCACTTGGGAGGCATAGATGGGATTCCCAGGGCAAGTCAGAGCAGCTAGCTTGCTGAACTGTAGTTTCAATTCTCAGGTTCTGCCTCAGTAAACAGAGAGCAAGAGCAATTGAGGAAGATAGCCAACGTGAACTTCAGGCCTCCGCGTTCATGAGCAAACGGGGGAAAGCACTTGTACACGTGTGCATATGTTGCACAAATCTTCCTGGAATAAGCACTCCGACACCAATGAGAGTGGATGAGAGGAGGTGCATCAGTGGACCAAAGCCAAGATACCTTCTGAAAGGCTTTGATACTTGGGTCCGATTTCTATTCTCATTTTCTACTCTAAAATGACCAGGTGGGGCAGCAGGCAAGCAGTTTACAGAGGCATATGTTAATGGCAACAGCCCATTGTTTCGGCTCTATCTCCCGGTCATTCTGTTCCAGAGAGCAACTGGAGTCAGGCTTCTTAAGTAGACAGCACAAGCAGTGCTTTAAGTAAATCATGAAATAAACCAATAAATCAGTATCTAATAATTGTTCTTTTCTAGCTTTTTATACTTCACATGCACACACATATGAACATACATACACACCAAACATGCAAAAACAATAAAATACCCAAGGTTTTCAAGTACACAAACTAATGACTCCTGTGTTCCTATGGAGGAAGCTCCGTTTTCCTTTTATTTTTGAGATGATAATTATATCATTTCTCCCTCCCTTTCCCCCCCCTCCAAACCCTACCAAATACCCCCTTCCTTGCTCTTTCAAATCCATGGCTTCTTTTTTCATTAATTGTTGTCGCATGCAGATATGTAACATATTTGGAGACCATTACTGACAACCAAAACTGATCGAAAGGCAGAGAACAGAGACTGTGTGGCGGCCAGTCCCATCTGATACACATCTACAGCACAATTTGTGTGTCTAAATCCTGCACAAAAACAAAGAACATCTAACAATGGCTAAGTTCAGCAAAATTAGGAGTGACTTAGAGTACTGAATTCTGCACTAGCTTTACCCAGCAAGTCATAGAAACTGCTGGGACTCAATTCTTATTCTCTACTAAAAAATCATAATCGTGAAAAGTTCTATAATTGAGCAAGAACATTTCATCTTGCTAAAAGAGAAAAAGGAACCAATGCTGGAGTCATACCTTACAAACACAGTATTCGGGGGGCTCTTACCTGATGGTCAAACTTCATAACACTCAGAAACTTCCTAGGTATGCAGAAGCCTTTCTGAGCAGTATCTGTGCACTGGAAGGCCTCAGGCCTTGATTAAGCATCAGCAATTTGTAATAGAAAAACTGGGAACTGTGGTGAGCCTTAACCAGAAGGGCAAGCTTATGAATGGCCAGAAAATCCATAAAGTAAGCAATTGAAGAGATACTATGAGTCATACTAGTTCAAGCCTCATGTGTTTCTTGGGGGCATCTTAACTTGTACTATCTACTTTTTGTTATTATTAGAACACTCTCTTTGAAAAGAATAGTGGGTATAATGTAAGCACGATAAATAAGCTATAAATAGGTCAGGCTTTAAGCCAGGATGCCCATTCCTTTGTGGCGAGCAGTAAGTTTCTACTGTTTGCTGAGTAAAGCTAGTGCAGAATCCAGCACTCTGTAAATCACTCCCAGTTTTGCTGGATGCGGCCTTTGCTAGGCGCTTTTTAGCCTTGTGCTGACTGTATCCTAAGCTTTTCTTCTTAGCAATTATCATATACACGTATATAATTTTTATGTACTGCTTTTCTTCTCTATGAAGCCATTAATTTCAAGGGCACAGAGATCATCATAGACATTTCTTTGGCATGTTCGACAAGAATAAACGTGAAAGTTGGTAAAACAGTCAGGAAGTTTCTTACCCAGGCTTGGATGATGGGCTCATTTATTGAGATAGGTGACATGGCTGCCTAAACATGAGCGGAATCAGGACAACAACAGACATGCCAAAGTGGAATGGGAAGAAGATCATGCATCCCCAGCTCTATGCAAAGATCTACAGACAACTAATGAATGCTGAGAACAGGAGAAATAGTCTTCCCCAGGGAAGAGCCCACCAATTAGTTATCCAGTACCAACTAATCATCCCTGAAAACATAGCTTCAAGTAAAATTATATGGGCTCATCAGGTTGTATTTATATATTTAGGCATATATAAATGTGTGTGTGTGTGTGAAAAAAGAGAGAGAGAGAGAGAGAGAGAGAGAGAGAGAGAGAGAGAGAGAGAGAGAGAGAGATCAGAGGTTCATGGGAGGGACTGGAGGAAGGGAAGGCAGAAATGATGCAATTATAATTTCAAAAAATATTGTAAAAAGTCAGTCCTGTCTATATGGGATATAGCAATAGATTAGTGAGCATTTAAGAACTTAGAAATGGGTTCTCAAGAATCATAGAAAATAGGGGTAGGAACACATGTATTAGGGACTCAAGATAGAATTCTAAGCCTGGTACTTTTAAGGCAGTGTCTGATTAAGAAAACCCTGTGACCTCTGCTAAGTCTCAGATAGCTAACCACTGTCACAAACATTTTATATTCTCTTTTCATAGACATTATTTTAACAGACATGTGTTGAATGCTTACTATGATTTAGATGGCTAAGGATACAAAAAAGGACAAATAACCCAAGAGTCCGGTTCTCGAAGAGCTCAAAGTTTCTTAAGAGGACAGGCACGGGTTTGATGGGACAAAGACTGTAAGGACCAGAGGTGATAGACGGCTGCAAGGATCGAGTGTTTTCCAGACATAGCAGGGTAACTGAACTCACATAACTGTGTTTACATACGAACTCAAAGCAGCTGCGACAGCATGCAGAAGGCTTGCATGAGCTCAAGACAGACAACATAGAGAGGGGGATGGCACAAAGTCCCACCCCTAGCTGAGGGGATAATTAAACTGTCCATTTTCTTTTTATTTAGTTAGTTAATTTTTTTCATTTATTTAACAAACTGACCACAGTTTCCTCCCCCCTCTTCTCCTCCTGCCCTCCCTTCCAGTCTCCCATCTAACCCCTTCCCATCCACCTCTTCGTCTCCATTCAGTAAAGGGCAGGCCGTCCATGGTATGGCCTCGGGTGGGTTAACCAGGTTTCACTGTAAGGCAACAAACAGATCTGAGAGTACAGGAGTAGCGAAGTTTAGACTTGACGTTTTTAAAGAGAATACACAAAGATGGGTGGTTATGGGGGATGATCTGGGGCGGGGCACTGGGAGAGGGCAGTGAATGTAAACAAAATATATCTGTGAAATCCTGAAAGAACTAATATAAAGAAGAAATAATAAAAGGACAATAAAATAACAGCAGCAGCAGGTACACAGACGGAACCCAGGAGGCACAGAGGAGACACAGCCTGTATGACATGGAAACAAGAATAGTCTCTTAGATAGACGGCATCGGAACTGAGCATTAGAGTATTTCATAAGCTAAACCAAATGACAACGACTGTTTAAAAGAGGAAGAAACTGTTAAACACTTACAGTAGAAAAAGAAGTATAGGTGGACTCAGGACAACAGGTAAGATTAAAGAAACTCCAAAAAATTCACAAAGGTTGTTTTCTGACCACTAGAGAAGACATCTATAGCAGATTGCATGTTCAGATTTCTGACCTAGAAAGGTACCAACAGGTGGTAGGGAGGGAAGAGATGATGAAGGCTAAACTATGGCAAGGACAATGCAAGTTCTGCAATGATTAAGTCCTGTATGTCTCATCCAGGCAGTTGGAGAGCAGGTACCAAGTTCTTAGCAACTGTTCACTTGTAATGACATGCAGAAGAACTAAGGGCCCAGATCACCCACCAAATCACCCACCAGAAAATGAATTAGCAGGCAATCATGAACTCTTTTTTTCCAGGGAACTCATGACTCCCGAATCATATCACTTTGATTGTATTGCTGTAACATACTCTACCTGGATTGCCTACTTCCTTCTTCGCTATCTGGTACATTCATGCTTTAAACACCATTTGAAATATCATGGGTCCTCTGCTGTGTTTCTGGAAGTACAGTAAGTGCTTTGAAACATTTTCTTGTATTCATATGGTTTCCCCTGCTAGTTCAATATGGGATGGAGAAAGAAAACATGCTTCTGCCAAGGAAGCAGGGAGGCTAACTGTAGATCTTCATCTCTCCTTCCATTTCTGCAAGTTCAATCCCCCAGCCTCATCCTCACCTCCGCAGGGGGGAAAAAACTGTGGCAGTTGTCCCCCATCTCGTTTCTGGTGAATTTCACAGATCTTCTACTTCAAACCTCTTTCCTCCAAGTCATTGCTCTGTTCCAGTCTCCAAATCCAGCAGGCACTCCCTGTAAAGGCACAGGCAACACTGGCCAGGGAAACAGGCTAACCTGTTCCTCAGCTCCTCCAAATCCAAGCCCCCAGTCTTAGGCCCAGTTCCCCACAAGAACACTGCTGCAGGCTTTATACTCCCTTCCCCCATCTCCAGTGGATTCCCTTAGATCTTCCATTCCTAACTTCCCTCTCCCAACTCTTTCCTTGGTCCAACCCAAATCCAGAAGGCACTGCCTGGTAAGTCACAGGCCCCCCACCGGGCAGGAAAACAGGTAGGCTGACTACAGATCTTCACCTCTCCCTCTGCTCCTCCACATCTAATGCCCCTGTCTCGCCCCCAGCTCTGCAGAAGAACACGACTGCAGGCTTCCTTCCCCCCCACCCCCCCCACCCCCCACCTCCACTCCCATCTTCATCTTCAAACTTCCTTCCACACAACATTGCTTTGTTCCAGCCCCGAACTCCAGCAGGCACCCCCCTAGGAACACACAGGCCACTCTAACCAGGGAAGCAAGGAGGCTAATGCAGAACGTCACCTCTTCCTCCACTCCTCCAAGGCCAGTCCCCCAGTCTCCTCCCCAACTTTGGAGCACTCTTCCCTCATTACCAGGGGACAAACTAAGCAGAACCTGGTGGAACACCTACTTCTTGTGAAGCTCCTCCACCGACCTAAGTCCATGCCCATCACTAAGTCTCAGGGTGCAATACCCAGAAACACACTTTGCCTGGAACCCCCAGAGTCTACACCTATTAGTGCCCCAGAAAATTTTCTTACAGGCCACACACAGCTACACCACTCTTCTAAGAACCAGAAAGGAGACAGAAACCAAGGAACAAAACATCCACACAACAAAGACAAAGAACATTCAACAAAGATCATGCCACATCTAGAATTACAGTCTTTGAAATCCCAGATGCCTACACACCAGCACGAAAACACAATCAATAACATCCAGGACAGTATGTCTCCAACAGAGCCCAGCAACCTTACTGTAGCAGGCCCCAAATATTCCAACAGAGCTGAAGCATTAAAGGAAGACCTTAAAACAGCCTTTATGCAGAAGCAAAAGACAACTAGTTTGTGTAGGCCCATTGTGTTTTTAGTATTTAAAGATAATGGGGTTATCTTAACTCTAGAATTTTAAAGACAGTATATTTAGGATTGCTTTTCTCTAATTATGAAGTATTAGATTTGAAAAGACATTCATTGTCTCGTTTGCCTCTGAATGGAGTCATTTTCTTTTTTTATTACTTTAAAAAAATACCAACCCAAACACCCACTTCCTCCTCCTCTCCCTCCGCACACCCTCCCCCACCCCAACCAATCTTTAGAGAGGGCAAGACCCCCTGCCCCGTGGAAAGTCCAAAGCCCTCCCCACTACATCTAGGTTGAGCAAGGTAAACATCCAAAGAGAATAGGATCCCAAAAAGCCAAATAAGTCACTTTCAGTTCCCCTCACTTATTATGTACCAGGGGAATGATGCAGTCTGCTGAGGCACTTTTCGGGAGTTTTAGTTATGTGGATGTTTGTCTTTGATGAGGTAGGCCATGCTCGCCTCATTTGTTTTGAATCTTTCTAGAAGAAACAGTCACGAAAGTTGTATGTAGATGACTTTGTATTAAAATTTGGTTCAGAATCAGTGGGATCTCTGGGATCCACACCAGACTCATTTCTTCCGTTTTCTGTTTTATTACTTTGGTAAAATGACAATAGTTTTCATTTTTTGCTTAATGTTACATTCTTAACCTATGTAGGGTATCAGTGCTAAAGCAGGCAGTGCATGTTGTTACTAGTTTTTTTCCTCGTAAGGCTTGCACACAGCTCTTTGTTAAGATGTAAGATGTGAGCTTCTTACTTCTTTGTATCACACAGATTATGTGTTTAAAGGGAAGATTTCAAGGGTCTCACATATTCTCACCACATCGCTGTCAGAACAGACACTCAGATTTGCCTAAGGAAATACAATCATGATGATTCAAATAGCTTTAAATAACTCAGCCCTAATAATTCTGCATACACTAATCATTTAAAATAGTTTAAACGTGAAATTGACCCAAATAATTCATACTGTTTTAATAATGTGAGAGACAGTGTTATGGGAAGAGCTCATTTGACTCCTGGTGGAATGGGCATGTCCAATTTTTCTTAACACAATTAGCAAACTATTATTGAGAAATGCCCTATCCGGTTTCTGTCCAAAAAAAGAAAAAGTCATCCCCCCTTTCGTGAAGTGGTACTGGGGATTAAACCCCATGTTATCTATGACTGTGGTTTATCCCCAGAGCCAACAAATCGTTATGTCTAAAATTCTGCTTTAGAACTTTAATCTTGAGTTCCTGATACCCATGTAGTTCTATTTGGGAAGATAAAACTTATCTTCCCATTCTGTCCCACATATCTCTCTATTTTTTTCTTGGAGCTGATGAACAGATATCTGAAAATCCATGTTCTTCAATGGTATTATTTAGGAGAAGTTGTAAGTGATATATTTGAATTTGGCTATTCTTATACTGTCTTCTGTTGACTTTGATAAATTGTACAGTAAATTAGATCATTGCATTTTTTTTACTTTGAAATGCCTATTTTGTCCTTGTAGATTCTTTATTTTTAAGGCATGACTTTATGGTTGGCTTTTAAAGGTAGGAATCAATGAAAATTTAAGGAAAGCAGTCTTATCTATTGATCTAAGTGCATTAGATTAAGAATATTTGGGTTCACAATCCCAGAGAATTTAGACAACAGTGAGGACACTAAGAGAGACTTACATAGATCTAATCTACATGGGAAGTAGAAAGTAGAAAAAGACAAGATCTCCTTAGTAAATTGGGAACATAAGGGGACACCGGGGGAGGACTGAAGGGGGGAGGGAGAGCCAGGGAGGGGAGCAGAGAAAAATGTAGAGCTCAATAAAAATCAATAAAAAAAAGAACATTTAAAAAAAAGAACATTTGAGTTCATGCTTATTTTAATAAAGTCATGTTTGTTTGAGTATGGAAAGTTATGCTTTATAGGTAAAGAAGTAGCAAATACAGATGAAATAAAAGCAAACGAGAGAAAATAAACTGAAAAGAAGGAAAAATGCAAGCGATAGTAAAACATTTGTGATGAATCACACCTGGAATGGCACTGGAGGTCGAGGCAAGAGGAATACCTGAGGCTTGAGACCATCCAGGGTTACATAGCAAGACTAGGCTCTGTTCATCAAAGAACAGAAACAAACGAGAGTATATGAAAGTGATGGGCCATAGTCTCATGGACTTACCTACAGACAAAAATCTACATTTACATTTTGAAGACAATAAAGAGGCCTTGAATGGAGGAGTGTGCTGCCTAAGTCTTACAGTAGGCTGGAGACAGGGCCTGAAGGAACAGTCATCATCACCAAAATCCCAAGAATCCGGCAATGAGACCATAGCTACCAAGAGTCTAATTGAAATCTGTACTACTCATTGGTCAACATATTGAAATCTGGTATTAATAAAATGTCAAAATAGCATACATAGTTAAAATAAAATACAAAAGTATGTTGATTGTTTGAGATGAAAGTAAAAGAAAGCCTGCTAAATCATTGGGCAAACTGGGAAATCATTTAAAATAAACAGGTCACATCATTACGCAAAAAAACAGCGTTTATGAATATGATAAGGCTCCTTAAAGAGAAAAATAAATCCCTTAAAGAAATCCAGGAAAACACAATGGGAGGAAATGAAGAAAACTGTTCATGACATGAAGTGGAAATAGAATCAATAAAGAAAACTCAAACTAAGATGAAACTGGAAGTGAAAACTTTAGGAGCTCAAACAGGAACCACGCAGGCCAGCTTCACTCTTGTTTGATGTCTGTCTCAGGTGCTCCAGGACATAAAAAAGCTCACCAAGATGTTAAGTCTTCATTTGCCAAAAGAGCAGAGGGGTTTAGCCTTCTTGGAAAAGAGTAACACCTAGCTAGTTCACTCCAGTTTCTTTATTCAAATATGTGTAAGGCTAATAGGGGCTGGGAAAGGTTCCAACTACCAAAGTCATCTTGTTCTTGCTGCCCATGAGAGCAGACAACCCACACAAATCTCAGTCCATTTTGATTATGGCCATAATCAAACGTAAAAACTCCAGATTAGCCAGGGGTGTCTTAGGACAAGGGTCGGTGCACCTGCAAGCTCTCACGTAGCAGTAACACCAAGTGCAGACTTTCCAAAAAGACATTTCTTCAAGATTTAAAGTCTCAAAACAATTTCTAAGCCTGTACTGATTAACCCAGACATAACAAAGGCTTTGCTGAAATATTTCCCTCAAAGCCAGACACAAAGGCTTTACATTTTATTAAAGTTAGACATAATTACACTTCACCACACTTCACCAACAGAGTACAAGAGATGGAAGAGAGAATCTCAGGTGTTGAAGACACATTAGAAGAAATTGATATACTAGTCAAAGAAAATGTTAAATCCAAAAAACTCCTCTCACAAAACATCAAGGAAATCTGAGACACACTACAAAGACAATATCTAAGAGGAGGACGAAGACACCCAGGTAAAAGTCACAGAAAATATTTTCAATAAAATCATAGCAGAAAATTTCCTTAACCTTAAAAAGAAGTAGATGTCTATCAAAGTACAAGGATTATATAGAAAAAAAACAGACTGAACAAAAAAAAAGTCCCCTCAGCAAATAATAATCAAAACACTAAACGTACAGAACAAAAAAAGAATATTAAAAGCTGCAAGGGGAAAAGATCAAGTAATATATAAAGACAGACCTATTAGAATTACACCTGACTTCTCAATGGAGATTCTAAAAGCCAGAAGGGCCTGGACAGATGTTTTGCAGACTCTAAGAGACCACAGATGCCAGCCCAGACTAATATATCCAGCAAAACTTTCAATCATCATAGATAAAAAAAATAAGACATTCTATGATAAAGTCAAATTTAAGCAATTTCTATCTATATACCCAGCCCCACAGAAAGAAAACTCTAACCTAAAAAGGTGAACTAAATCCAAGAAAACACAGAAACTA